TCAAAGCTCGGTGGTCGAGCGCGAGAATGGGCACTGACGTGCGGCACTTCGGTCGGAGTTGCGTTTCCCTCCTAGATGGGGCTGAAATTGCAGCTCTCCCGAGGTTCTCGCCGCCTAATAAGGCGTTTTGCGTGCGATCGCGTTTCCTTGCCATCCGACAGGGCAACAAGGAATTGATGGTCTTTGTCGAAGAGATGCGAACACTTATTGCCGGGATGGCAGCAGATCCCCCCCCCGGAGGCGGTCATAGTGACCGTCTTTATGGAAGGCCTCCGAACTGGCGTGGCCAGAATGGAAGTATTCCTTGTGCATCCGTCCTCGGTTGAAGAGGCAGTGAAACTGGCATGCCAAATTCAATTTCAAATCGGGACGACTTGGTTGAAATGCACACTCCAACAGCTGTCGAGCAGGTCTATGCCGATGGATCTCAGCTATGCTGAGGACGAGGGAGCTGATCTCGGAGCTGCCGGGCAGCATACACACATACAACGGTTTTTGTCTGTGGAAACACCCGTCACCTTCGGAACAGTTGTTCCCTGCGCAAGGCGCGTCAAGGTTCTTCGAACCAATCGCCCCAATGCCTACCAGTCTGGTTCGTCGCAGGGAAACGACACCACTCAGTTGGCGCGGGGCGACGTACTAGGGAAGAACTAAGTTCTGTTGAGCCTCAGGGAGGCATAGGTCAACAGGACCCAGCCCCGAAGAGCTTCGTGCTCACGCACACGGAACGTGTGCGCGAGCCGGGCTTGCTGGTCGTGGAGGCGACCGTAAAAGGCTTCGAGAAGCCATGGAAGATACTCATCGATTCCGGGGCGTCAGGCAATTATGCTCGACGTTCCACGATGGAAGGAAGTCAGCTGCATGCTGAGGCGCTGAAGGCGCGGTTGGGTGACATCGTCACTGTTCGCCTAGCGACGGGGACACGTGTCAGTGTCTCGAAGGTCGCTGTGGACATCGGAGTCAAGTTCCTTGATTTTGATAGCGTGGAACGCTGTCAAGTCTTATTTC